CTGCTTTTGCTGCAGACCTTCCTCCACCATTTCTTTATGAAATTTGTGGGGCTCTCAGATGTAATGATCACAAGCTGTCCTTGCGGGTTTGTGGAGACTTGTTGTGGCTAGAGAGACTTGCAAGTTGGAAACCTAACCAAAGGAACATTGCCATTGATGTCATTGGTTTCTTGTTGGCAAGCCTAATCGTAAACAATATACCATCAACATCCATCAACCAACCATTTGGGCTCATTCTACATCACCCCAATGAGGGTATATAATGTTTTTTTCGCAATCATGAACCCTGGGCTGGTTCATCTTTGGGTTTGGGACATCATCGTACGACATCATGATTGGTTCAAAACGGAATTCCCGCAATGGATGGTAATGATCCCGGAGGTATTGGGCCCCTAAACATCAACCAGAATTTTAGCGTCCGGTCAAATCGGGGTCGTCTATTTTTGGGTTTTTCCACATAACTTCCCATCATAGTGACGACTGATATGAAAAGCCTTAAAGATTCTTAATTAAAGTAGTTTTTCATAATTTCTCACTATTTTTAGTGGGATTTTGGCAACTTCGTTCTTTTTTGGGGGTAACTCGAACAGTGGAGGTCTAGACCCGTCCAGGTCTTGCTGGGCCCTGTGGCGCGTTTCATCCGCACGTGGCAGCATCAAAGTGGTCAAAGTACGGTCGAGGGAGGAGCTGGGGATGAAATCATAGGTCTCCGTTCAATTACCCTCTAGTAATCAAACATGGCTTGCCGGAGAATCCACCATTGATAGACGATTTTCCCATATTTTCCCATTGAATGTTATATTTTTTGTGATGCAAAGACAAAGTATTTGCTAATAATGATGGCTGGCTTGTCAGTTGAGGGATGGAACCGCTTCCGTTGAAAGAGTTTGAAAACCGATGACCATTTTGGACTCAAGTAATGGTTGTGGTTTTCCCTCTTTGTTAATTCCATTGGGTCGTGTATGGACCCGCTGTGTGAGTTGCTGCTCCTTGTTGCTTGCCTTCGGTGTGACCGTGGGCTGGCATTTGAAAGGGCTGGTGCAGGCCCCAGCTGCGTCACCAGGTCAGGTGGCCACGATCCACGCATTTGCTGCTCTGAGGGACCCCGTGCATGGCCAGCTCCGTTCTACCAACTGCAGCACAGTTAGCAACTTTGACTGATCTGAACGCGGTGGTGCAATGGGCCGGGGTATCTCAGGAAGCTTGGACAGCTTTCCAAACTGCTGTAGGCACATTGCCTACCTTGCGTATCTTCTCTGGCTTGTCCGAAATGGCCTTCAAAGCAGTACTGCGCCAGGCACGAATCGCTGTGACTGGTGGGACTCCCAGAGAGTTCAATGCTGTGGAGGCGATTCAGTTGGCCTTGGCATGGAGGATTGCGAGACAGGCATTCAGCTTACCAGATTTGGATCCTCTTGCAGACCCACCTGCAGCCGTACCCAGCACCTGGCGCAGCACCTTTGACCACTCAGAAGAAAATCAAGACGTCATCGGTTCTAGATCAACTGGACGAATCAGAGGTGCCGACCATGTCGCAAACAGAGATCGACGAGGCGTACAGGAACCATGTGGAGATCACTGGTGCAGACTCTCCTGCAGATGCAGAGCCAACGGGAGAGCAGATAACTGCCCTCCACGCGAGGGTGGTGGTCCGTGGAGAAGCACCTTATACGCAGACTTCAGCGTACTGACACCATTCGGCCGAAGAGTGCAGAAGCAAATGAAGGCCCGTGGTTGGATGCTTCAGAAGGATGGGTCTTGGAAAGCAGCAGACATACCAGGACCCCCAACCTACGAGACTCGGGCCGCTTGCTGGAAGGTGTTCCGTGCTGCACTCTTCATGTTGAGGTATCCTGTGCCACCCAATGGAACAGAAGCTCCAAAAGTGGTGACCTCTGCTTGCCTAGAGGAATACTTCGAGAAAGTCAGAAAGCTTCATGGCGAGTTCCCGGAGACGTGGCATCTGCTGCTTCAAGCAGAAGATCGTTGCAGGGCAGAGATGTTCGAACGTTACAGGAGACAGCTGACCAAAGCGGCGTTGGAAGGGAAGCTGCCTATGGGACTGTCCTTCGATGCAAGGACACCATGGATTGGGGTGTTCACCCATGCGGCGAGAGATGCATCTTTCTGGGACGAGCATGTTGTTCGTCCATCCCAGAACTTCATCGCCAGGGGTGGAAAGCATATGTCCTCAGATCGTGCATCAAGGACGAACCTTCCGGAAGCTGCTCAAGATATCCTCGAGACCAATGCGGCGGCGATTGGACGGGAGACACCAGCAGCACCATTGCCTGGCATGGGCAGCTCCTGACATGCAAAGAAGAGGAGAAGGATCCAGGAGGAGAAGAGGGCATCGCCTCAAGTTTCAAGCGCTGCATCCGGCAAGGGTGCAGGTTCAGGTGGAGGATCGGGTGGAACGCCAAGGAGAGAACCGTTCATGAAGTCCAAGGGTGGTCTATACCTGACCAATTCAGACGGAGTGGAACTATGCTTCAGGTATGCGAAGGGCACGGCAGGATCGTGTCCAGAGCCATGCAGGGACTTCAGGGACCACGGTTGCCAACTTTGCCTTGGAAGACATCCCAACTCTCAGTGCCCGCGATCTCAGAACAAGACGGAGGGCAAGACAGAGGGTGGAGGTGGAAAGGGCAAGTGGAGCAAATGATCCATGGAGACAACCCATGGGCCTCGCAAGCTGAGATTCCTGGAGCTTTTCGCTGGCATGGGAGGTATGTCGTTAGCAATGCGCTCTCTGGCCGGGGACACCGTGGAGGTCATGGAACCCAAGGACATCTATGTGGACTGGGACATACTGGTCGACAAGGACTTCGAGGCGGCGAAGAAAGCTGTATTGGATGCAGGTCACATTCACATTGCATCCCCGTGCCGCTCCTTCACTCGAGCTCGACGAAGCGACGAACACGGCTGGGTGGAGATCATGAGGTCCGACTCCCATCCAGAGGGATGGGGAAGCCCGTTGGCCGAGGAGGGGAACAGCATCTTGAAACGTGTGGTGCAACTTGTGCTCATCGCTTTGGAAGGTGGCAAGTTGGTGAGCATAGAGAACCCAGAAAATTCCTTCGCTTGGATGGTGCGGGTGATGGTACAACTGCTCAAGCGACGGGACATGACACTACATGGACTGGATCAATGCCCTATGGAGCCGAGACGGTGAAGCCCACACGCGTCGCTACCAACTAAAGTGGGTATTGGCCGTTGGGTTGAGATGCAACCAAGTCCGGAGGCACAGACATCGGGAAGGAGGACTTACTGGCTTGGTTTGGGATCCCATTTCAGAACAGCAGGTGTGGCGGTCGGCCAAGGCAGCCGAGTATCCAGCTGGCCTGTGTTGGGCTTGGGCCGAATCTCTGGACCAATGGCTCAAGTCCCGAGACGGCTTGGCTTGGATGGCGGTGCGCACAATGGTCAAGGTGGGCAAGTTCAACAACACCTTGGTGAACTTGGAGATCTACAGCCAGGAGTTGGCCCCGCGTGGGCACAAGCGGACAGTGGAGGACGATGCAACGATCGACCACACCAAGGAGACCGTGTCAGAGAAGAGAGAGAGGGAAAACACAGAGTCAGTCGGCGGCCTCAGGGATCCTCGCAGAGCGGTGGCGAGGAATGCAAACCTTAGGACGTCTGGCGACACCATTCGTGCATGCTTGGATGAACTTCTCAACGACCCGGTTCTGACAGAATTTGGAAATGTGCAGGATGCTTCTCCGTTCTCCGACGAACTGATTAGTGCTGCTCGGAGGTCTTTAGCTACAGCCTTTAACGCTGAGATCCTTGAAGAAGGGTGCCAGGTCGGTTTGTTGGAAGCGTTGCTGCTCAGTGCTAATGATCCAGATGCCAGTGTGCTGCCTTCGTGGCTTCGAGAGGGCTTCCCAATCGGCATTGCAAGAGACATCGAGTACACGGGCATCTTTCCACGTACAGATGGACCTTCAGCTGCCATCAAAGCCTCCCAAGCATTCCAAACGATTTCGGATTGGATGGGAAACGCACAGAATTACAAATCCTTCGCTGAAGCTGGCGACAAAGCTCAGGCAGAGCTGCTTCGTTTGGTGGATGCAGGACGTGCGCAGAAGGTTTCAACTTGGGAAGAGGTTGTGCAACTGGTCCTGATGCTCGTTTGACAAAGATGGCTTGCATCAGCAAACAGAAGAGTGGCAAGGAAAAGGTCCGAGTCATCGTCGATATGCGGCGGTCCGGGATCAATGGGCAAATGAGAGTTGAGGAGCGAGTAGTCTTGCCTAGAATCACGGATGTTGCCGCATCATTGCATGAACTTTTTAAGATTTGCTAGATATGACGATGTCCCGGAATTTTACATTATTGATTTCAGTGATGCCTTTTACACTCTTCGTTTGCACCCCGCCGAACGTGCACACACCATTGTAAAGGGAAATTGTGGTTCCTATTTCATTCTTCATTGTGTTTGCTTTGGACTTAGCTGCGGACCGTTGGTTTGGGGAAGGCTTGCTAGTGCTTTCCTCCGACTAGGACAGGCAGCTACAAACAACAGAGGGGGTCGCTCCCAGTGCTATGTTGACGATCCAATTTTAGTCGCACTGGGACGGACTCACCATGAAAGATCCCGAGTTTTTGCAAGAGTCACTTTGTTGTGGTGTGCCTTGGGCTGCTCACTTGCCTGGCACAAATGTTCTAGAGGTTGCAGTGTTGAATGGATTGGTGTGAACCTACAATTAGAGGGTGCACTGTATAGAGATCTGCGGGTGTGTCTCACTGTTGATAAGACCAGCAAACTCAGGGAGATGTTTAAGGAGATCATGACATACCAAAATAAAGGCATGCTTCCCACTGCATTGTTGTCCCAGGCCGCTGGCATCATGGGCTGGGTGTCAAACATCATTCCACTGTCAAGGCCGTGGACAGGTGCACTCTGGGGAGCCGTGGTAGCTGCGGAACGGGAACCGACTAGGGATTCAACCAGGGCAAGGAAAGGGCTGACATTTTGGAAACAAGTGAAATTCAGCATCCTGGCCTTGGGAAAGATGCTGGAAGTCGCATCTGAACCTAATCGCTTAGGCCGTGATCCGCAGTTGCAACTGCCCCAGCTGTCTAAGTTGTATTCTTTCATGCAAGATCTCCCCCTCCTTGAGTTGTTCACTGATGCTTGTCCCACAGGTATGGGTGCCGTCATATTTCAAGGCAACATACCCATTGGATATTGGGCCCATCAACTTTCACAAGAAGATTGCACCAAGTTACACAAAGACTGTCAGTTAGGCGATCCGGCATTCCAGACGGAGTGGGAAGCCTGGACGGTGGTGTTAGCTTTGAGGGCATTTTCTGGCATCTTTTCTAGCAGCAAATTTAAAGTGTTTCTCCGTAGTGATAACACTGCCACACTGCAAGCCAGTTTGCAGTTTCAAGCCAAATCACCTCTGTTGCGACAGATCGCAGCCGAATTGGTGTTGGAGATCGAAGATCAGCAGTTGGGAGCCTTGGAGGGACGGCACATCCGAGGACTGCTCAACCAGATTGCTGATTCTCTTTCTCGCAATGTGGTTCCCAAACAGTTGGAACATGTTAGGCAGTTTTCTGTGCCTGATGATTGGCTTTTCTTCCGCAGATGTTCACTGATCCATGCTTGAGACGTGCAAAACAAGCTGCCATGCCGAGTGTTTCCTTTTCTCATTCATGTCTTGGTAGGTGGCTCAAGGTAAGCATGTCCTGCTACTTATGTCTTGGTGCGCGACCAAACGGTCAGGGTGGATGGTTAGTAAAGCCTGCGCACAGAAACGGTTGAGACTCAATAAAGCATGGGCTAACTCTGAAGCTGTGGAGGAATTGCCTCCCGCTGTAGCTGCTGCTCAGAAGCTCATGGCGCAACCCGAGAATGATCGAGCCAATGTTCCCGTTGCATCGAGCGCATCAAGGAGTGACGGTTCCAATGGTCCTTTGGGAGTCACTGCCTGGATGGGCCAGATGGACGGAGGCAAGGTCATGAATCGGGAGGCACCCAACCCTGGCCCAGGTGAAGTTCTGGGGGAAGGGTTGGGCTGTGTGCAGTTGAGAAGGCGTGGACCGAGAGTGGCAAACCACTGGCTCCAGAATGGGAGCGAAAAGCGGCCGAAACCATGCCTGTCAAAGGCCATTTCGCTTGCGTCCGACGAGGCAAGAATGGAGGCAGCTAGGCTAGAGTTCATGACCCTTCGATATGCCGCAGGTACTTTGGACACCAAAGACTCCTTGTTTAGGACGTGGTGCGAAGTGTCTACAGCTCGGGGATTCGAGCCACTGCCGGTCACCGCTGACAAGCTTGTGGAGGTCAGCTCCGTTCTTAGGGCAAGTGGGTATCGATCGGGATTGGCCTACATCCTGGAAGCGAAGCGAAGACATCTTCGACATGGATTTGCATGGGGCGAACACTTGGACGTGATCGTCAAAGACTGCAAGAGGGCATTCACAAGGGCCATAGGACCTGCAAGAAAAGCTAGTGAAGTGAGATTGGAATGGCTGCAGACATTGTGGAACACCGAAGGCAACAAAGTCGGAGTGAGGAGAGATGACAGGATGCCCGAAGGGGGTCTGCTTGTGTGGGCTCTGGGCATCCATTGGGTGCTACGTGAAGTGGAGTTGGCTTGCCTCACCTTGCATGAGGATGTAGTAGTCCGACTTCAAAGCAGGGACAGACAGGTCACGATTCTCCTCACTTCCTCCAAGTCCGACCCTGCAGGACGTGGTTGCAGAAGGACCTTGAGGTGCTGTGGGAGGAGGTCTTGCGAAGACAGTGGGCTGGAATGCCCGTACTTTGTGGCATGCTCCTTGATAGAGATGCAGGAGAGAAGCACCGGTGTTTCACGAAGTGACGAGCGTGCACGAGGTCTGCCTCTGATTGGTCAGACAGGTTCACCCATGTCATTTGTCGACAAGGACAAGATGATTGAGGCAGCCAAGGAGGACGCCGTCAGAGTCAAGGACTTGGTTGAACAAGCACAACAGCTGGACATCTCTGCAGTCACTGGGCACTTCATGCGAAGAACGGGATGTAAGAGATATGCCAGAAATGGGATGCCACTTGACATCATCAAGCACATGTCTCGGCACAGTTCATCGGCTGTTGAAGGTTATGTTGAAGAGGCATTGGAAGAGGACCCAGGCGCACAATCGAAACTTAGTGATTTTCAACAGGTACAGAAAGCTCTCACTGAGTTTCGACAGGATCTCGAAGAGATCAGAGAAAAGCAGCAAGTTGTTTCCATACCAATCGAGTCTGAAACAGATTCGAAGTTGATTGAACAAGTAGCAAAGATGAAAGATGAATTGGGACCGCAGTACATTAGGAATCGTAGCTCGCAGAAGGTACATTCCACCTTTGGTTGCCAGTTCTCTGACGCACCCAGTACATGGTCCACCAGATGTGGATGGAAGTGGGTGAGTGCAGGAAGGCAAGCGGTTGCATGTGGTGCCACCGAAATTAAATCCTTCAAGTTGTGCGACAAGTGCTTCGCGCAAGAAGACGCATAGACAAAAGAAAGACAGGTTGATGCGCGAGGATGTTGGAATTAGGATGGCAGTGAAGTGCAGTCTGTGAAGTTGAGTATCGCAACTCACACTCTTGGGCTCAGTGCCCGCTAGGTCTCACACTCAGTTACAGTGTGAACCAGTTGGCAGTGAAGTGCAGTCTGTGAAGTTGAGTATCGCAGGGTTCAGGCTGAGTCATCCTGAAGCTGAGATTGCTTAGGTCAATGTCGACCGGAGCATATCAGCGACAAGGATGCAAAGTTTGGAATCCAAGGTTGAGAACTCAGATCAAAGCAGAACACAGACAGCAATTCCACCATCCTGTGAGAAAAATAAGTGCACCGCATGCATATACCGATTGATGTCAATAGGCAATATTTATATATACCAAGCGTGGCAGGATGGGGTTCTGACATGCCTGCATATCATTTTATGGGAAAATCATCTGTAAATGGGTGGATTTTCCAGCAAGCCAATGTTACCGGAGGTCACAATGTGAGGTCGTTGGAACAATGGGTTTTCTGGCAATTTTCGGCAGTTTTCGCTGGGAAAAGCATCATTTTTGATAGGTGAATCTAGGTAAATTATAACAACCTCACTGTTCCCCCGAGCCCTGGAATCATGGTTAAGGGAAATCATCCCCAAATGGCCCGACATTTCAAGGAAAGTGAAATATTATAATTTACCCAGGTGAATCATCGAACTAAATGGGCCGATGTCCGGGCTGCATTAAATTACCAGAGAGTATCAGTGATACTGCGGATGGTTGCGAAATCCTGCACCAGTTGGTAGCTATGAGATGAGTCTGAAACACTCTAAATAATGGGATTATAACGGGGATAAACCACGTACCAATTGGATCCAATTGGTATTTCCCCACCTGCCAGGTGAGGGTTGTTAGATTTTATGTCAGTTGCCTGGTCCTCCTCCTCCTCCTCCTCCTCCTCTCCTCTCCTCCTCCTCTCGTTGTCCTCCTCCTCTCGTTGTCCTCCTCGTCCTCCTCGTCCAACTGCGACCCGCGATCCACAGTGTTCTCTGTCGGACCTCAACCACGACCATCCACGCCCAGTGTTCCCTGCCGGACCTCATGTAGGAAGATAAAATGTCAGATAGAGTGCCAGAAGATTTGCCAGGTAGAATGCCAGAAAATATGCCAGAAGATATGCCAGATAGATATGCCAGAAGATATTCCAGAAGATATGCCAGATAGAATGCCAGAAGATATGCCAGAAGATATGCCAGATAGAATGCCAAATAGAATGTCAGAAGATATGTCAGATAGAATGCCAAATAGAATGTCAGAAGATATGTCAGATAGAATGCCAGAGATATGCCAGAAGATATGCCAGATAGAATGCCAAAAAGAATGTCAGAAGATATGTCAGATAGAATGCCAGAAGATATGCCAGAAGATATGCCAGATAGAATGCCAAATAGAATGTCAGAAGATATGTCAGATAGAATGTCAGAAGATATGCCAGAAGATATGCCAGATAGAATGCCAAATAGAATGTCAGAAGATATGTCAGATAGAATGCCAGAAGATGTGCCAGTAAGAACATGTATAAATGTCATGGTGGGGATCACACGAAGTAAAGTAATTTTGATGTTGATGGGGAACATGTCAAGAATCCTTGAGGTGCGTTTTGTAAGAACCTCCAGCGGGATCATATTTTGTCACCAGGAGCGACCAGCTTTAGCACGATTTGTCCTCCAAAGGGAGGCGACAGAAGCTGTGACCTGTCGAAGGATTTGGAGCTAGGCGCACAGAAGGATCCAAAAGCTTCATTGCACAGTGGATTTGCGAAGGATCCAGTCTTGTAAGTTGTCGAAAAAGCTTGCGAAGCTGCTGGTACACCCAAGGATTTTTAATGCCCAAAGAGACGGTATTTTAGACGACATTATGTTTTTTTTACCAATCCAAATTGGAGGCTTACAGCATTGGGTGTACCGCATTGAAGAATTTGGTGCCGTATCTCTGGTAACCAGGTGACACCGGATATGCCTTGGTCAAATCGGCTGGTGATTCAGTTAATTTGGAGATAGCCACCGTGGAATTTGGAGGGCTGGTCCTAACTGGAAGCGTTTTGACCATGGCAGAAAAGCTGAAACAGAGCACCCGCTCGGGTTGCGTAGCGTCCTCTCGAGTTGCGTAGAGTCGTCTTAGCGCGTGCAGTTCACATGAGACCTGCACAGAAATCAGGGTTTCCTAAAATGGGGGACCCCAAAATCATCCAAAATTGATCATTACCAATGAGAAACCCAATGATTTGGGGTACCCGTATTTTAGGAACCCCCTATATATAGAGTTGAATTGCATGCAGAAGGAGCCTCCCAGCAATTTGCAGATGGCAAGGCCACAAGCGTTTGGGCAATGTTTTGGCAATTCCTTCTAATTATTTATACAGTGGAAAAATAATATCAAGATTATATTAATTATACATTAAATAGATTCTTCTGCAAATATATATCTTCAAAAAAATAAGAATAAAATAATTCTATTTTTTGATATTAATTAAATTTCTTTTCCAAATGGGAAAAATGAGTATCGGAAACAGTATAGATTTTTTAAATCAATCTTTTAATATATTTTAATAATATAGATTATACTGTATAATATGGAAAAATATAAACTAGAAACTAGACGACGGATGGCCCGAGAGCGTAGAGGAGCAGGGTCTTCTCTTGTTAGTATGGAGACACCATATTACAAAACAATATATTAAAGATGTATTAAACGCAGTCGAAAAGAGGAGTATCAAGACAATGTAGCATAAGTACAAGACAATAGTTTGCATCGGAAACACTTTTACACACAGAAGCTTTTACACAGAGCAAGCTTTTACACAGAGAACCCCTTACCTTACACAGAGAGGCTTTTACAGACAGGCGCTTTTACACAGACACTTTTACACACAGACGCTTTTAGGCACAAGGCACTTTTACAGACAGAAGCTTTTACACACAGACGCTTTTACACATAGACGCTTGCACACACACAGACGCTTTTACACATAGACGCTTGCACACACACAGACGCTTTTACACACAAACACTTTGACACACAGACACTTTTGCACACAAAAGCTTTTACACACAGACGCTTTTACACACAAATACTTTTACACACAGACGCTTTTACACACAGACGCTTTTACACACAGACGCTTTTACACACAGACGCGTTTACACACAGACGCTTTTACACACAGACGCTTTTACACACAGACGCTTTTACACACAAACACTTTGACACACAGACACTTTTGCACACAAAAGCTTTTACACACAGACGCTTGCACACACTTGCTCAGAAACATCTTATCGAATTATTGATGTGGAATGCATCGTACGTGCAAAAACACTTCAGTTAAACCTGACAGGAGCGGTTGGATGACCAGAAATGAGAAACTGTGTGGAAATCTTTCCATGCCCTTGCTAGAAGAATCAAATTGTTCTGATGCAGCGCGTTCATCTTCAATTGATATTGGAAATTCAGATTGCGAAAACCGTGCAAAACGAGAAATTGAAAACCAGGTTGTTTTGAAACGGCAAGGTGGTTCTTGGGTTAGCCACGTCCCATCACGAGGAAAATGCAGGTACGTTTTCACCCCCATACTGTCTGGTCTTCGTTGGCCAGGACAGACAGTGATGGGTTCCTGGCCCCCTGCTTGATTTCGGAAAATACCAAGGTAGAAGTTTTACATCTATTCAGATGTTCCACACACACGCCCCGCTGCCGCGGGGCATTTAAGGCCCCGACGAATGAGATGAAGGTGAAAAGAAGAGAAATGAGTGAGAATTCCATTGAAAGAATTGAAGCCACACGGCGGCCAGCTGTTCAACCCAAATCGACAACGACGTGGTGAAAACCGAAAAAAGGCCAGCTGTTGCACTTTACTTAGACGAATTACTAATTCAAAAGTGTAAATTCGGAGGTCGTTTCAACGTGTCAAATCTTTACCTGGAAAGGTATTCCCCGAAGGGTTCTTGCCACCTTGACGAATCCAGCATGAATCACACACTTGCTCAGAAACATCTTATCGAATTATTGATGTGGAATGCATCGTACGTGCAAAAAAACCCAGTTAAACCTGACAGGAGCAGTTGGATGACCAGAAATGAGAAACTGTGTGGAAATCTTTCCATGTCCTCGCTAGAAGAATCAAATTGTTCTGATGCAGCGCGTTCATCTTCAATTGATATTGGAAATTCAGATTGCGAAAACCGTGCAAAACGAGAAATTGAAAACCAGGTTGTTTTGAAACGGCAAGGTGTTTCTTGGGTTAGCCACGTCCCGTCACGAGGAAAATGCAGGTACGTTTTCACCCCCATACTGTCTGGTCTTCGCTGGCCAGAACAGACAGTGCTGGGTTCCTGGCCCCCTGCTTGATTTCGGAAAATACCAAGGTAGAAGTTTTACATCTATTCAGATGTTCCACACACACACAGACGCTTTCACACACAAACGCCTTTACACACAAACACTTTGACACACAGACACTTTTGCACACAAAAGCTTTTACACACAGACGCTTTTACACACTAACACTTTTATACACAGACGCTTTGACACACAGACGCTTTTACACACAGACACATTTACACACAGACGCTTTTACACACAGACACTTTTACACACAGACGCATTTACACACAAACACTTTGACACACAGACACTTTTGCACACAAAAGCTTTTACACACAGACGCTTTTACACACACACAGACGCTTTTACACACAGACGCTTTTACACACAGACGCTTTTACACACAGACGCGTTTACACACAGACGCTTTTACACAGAGACGCTTTTACACACAGACGCTTTTACACACAAACACTTTGACACACAGACACTTTTGCACACAAAAGCTTTTACACACAGACGCTTGCACACACACACAGACGCTTTCACACACAGACGCCCTGACACACACACACTTTTACACACAGACACTTTTGCACACAAAAGCTTTTACACACAGACGCTTTTACACACA